AACTGGACGTACTTAGTGATATAAGCTGACAAATCGTGACCCTTGAAAAATTAACATCTAATTTCTACCTACGATATAAACATACTGTCAAGGACACAACTGATGAGAATAAACAAAATCAACAGCTAAGTGATATTGTCTTGATGTGGTACCAAATTCTCAGAGCTGACATTACAAAAATGAATGATAATCGGTAATGAGAATTAAGATGAGTTTTCGAGTTTAGATGTTTAAAACAGAGTTCGGGTCCAGAAAAGATGAGTACATTGAGCTCTGGATCTTCGGAGGGCACACCAAGCAGGGGCGGATCCAGAATATTTAAAAAAGGGGGTCCGAAGAAATTGTGGCTGAGGGCAAGCCTCCCCCATTCCCCCAAAACCGAATGAAAAAATCCCCTCTAAAACGGTTGGTCAATTTTTTTCCGAAACTACAAGAACAAAGGCGGGACAGCCCCCTCCCACCCCTAAATCCGCCCCTGCCAAGCTACCTTGCAGACTTGTGTTCTTTATATTTTTGCGCCCTTGGATGCTTTTCTCTTCACAGATTTGCAATTTTTTAAACTCAAACATTCTTTTCATCATTGCACTCTGGGTCTCCATGGACAAATGGGCACGTTCAATTAAACCACTCATGACATATCAGATTGGTTGACTATCGGAGTAGTTCTTTTCACCTCAGGAAATACCCAAAAATACTATTACCAGCATTACGACGGCTTGTTTTCAGTTGTTTAATTGCCTTTCAGTTATCAAAATGTTGTACTGAATAGCTTTGAAAATATGTATAGACAAGCAGGAAAAAGTCGTTAAGACATAAGTTTAAATTTTGCCTAAAGAATGCCCATTGGAATTTTTTCCAACATTCGCTAATTACGTCATTTATAGTACACCTGACAAAAGATTCCCATTGGACGAGAGCAGTGCTATTAATTCAAGTGGTACTAACTTTTTGCAACGTCGCTGCATTCGCAAGGTTAAAAAACTAGTTAGTCAGATTCGTCCAAATCCTCCAAGAAATAACTATCTTCAAAGTCACAACAGCTCCATGAATCAGCTATGTCTAGTGATTGTAAACTTGTTTCAGCTGTCTTCTGCGGCTCAATTTTTACCGGTGCTGTGAATGGTTTTAATTCCAGCGCAGAGCCAAGTTCACAGAGTTTTATCATGCACACTCGACCAGTGGATGTGAAACAGACGGCTCTGTCTTCTTCAGGGGACACGGCCAAGCTTACGATGCTTTCCTGCCCTTCAACTATCCTGGAGAATCCAGCAGCTTTCGCCTCGCTGATGTCCCACAGAAAGACCATACCATCAACGGCGTATGAGATAAGATATCGATTTATCTTTAAAAAACGACAAAACTCGATTATCCCAAGATGGCCGCGAAGAACTTGTTTGGAGGAATAGATATTGGAAGTGCCAAGACTGTACACAAGAATTACGTCTGCGATGCAGCATACCAAAAACTGATTATCCACCGACACACTGCACTGACTGAACCTAACAGAGATGTAAGGCCTCGCGACGCTGCGTCTCGCAATAAGGCGGCAGGTATGTTCAGCGTACTCCCAGATCTCAATCTCGTAGTCACCACACAATACTACTTTATCCGAAGAAAGGCAACAACATTCCGGAGTCAGGTGAACTCGTGATTCTAAACGAGCCGAAACAACTTCTTCTTGGATATCCCATACATGGAAATATGAATCGTTTTCGCTATCCTGAGTACATAAGAGAAGAGCGGTACCGTCACTTGAAAATGCAAAGCATGTTACCATACACTCGCATTTTGAGTGAAGAAACTCTAATTTCGATTCTATAAAACCGTACAATTCTAACTTACCTTCCAAGTGAATGGCAATAAGCCTTCCGTTTGAGGACACTGCACAATTCTTCACAGCGAGAGACTGCGGGCCGGATACAGTCGACCAACCGATGCAGACATCACCGAAGGGGATGAATTCTTTATCAGCAGACGTCGAGGTTTGCATCACCGTAACTGTCGAGTCAGAGCTAACAGATATAACAGCATTACTTGAACAGAACATCGCTGCAACGGATTTTCCTACAACCAATGGTTTCACAGGTTGTGCTGGAAGAAACTTAAAAGGACTGAATAAACTTGTCAAAAAGATGGCTGTCTCCTCGGTACCATGACGAAACAAATACCCAACCTGCCTTTCTCTTGTAAAGTAGCCAACGTTATTGCCCGACACACTCGAGAGTACTTCACCTGTCTTGAAAGATAAGGCGCGCAATGAGCCTCCAGGCGACTGATAAACAAAAAAAAGATCATCATTTGAAAAGGTAAAGCGTGTGGATTTACTGAAGGTATATTCTGTTTTTTCGTGATGAATATGGTGTTCTTCTTGATTTCCTGTTTGTAACAAGCTCACCTGCAAAGAATCATCAGCCTGGATAACCCATTTCATTTGTGGTGACACGCAACTAAGAACTTTTCTGTTACCAGAATCAGGGAGATTCTGAAAACCTTCAGGAATGTTCCTCCAAAGGCCAATCTTGAATGCGTCATTATGGACCTCTCTGAACAACTCAGGGGACAAAAAATCTGGGTGCCCTTCGCTCTCCCCCATCAAAGCCCATTTGCAGAAATAGTATATTTTCCGTAATTTAGGAATGTCATCTAAATTTTCAAGTCGCTTCCTCTCAAAAGCTTCCCTAAAGAAACTCTCCAACGCATGCATGTGAAAAGTCTTCCGCTCGACCTCCAGCTCTAGCTTTCGCTCATTCTCCCCCAGAGTCTTCTCCAAGTGATCCTCGATCTTCTTCATCAACGAGCTATTCGACATCGCCATCGCGACGAGCGTCTCCAGATTACTCTCCAGCTGCCGCACAGAACGGAAATAACAATAAGCAGTTACTGTGGCAATGTTACAACGTGACATGGCTTTCCATATGCCAGAACAGCTCTTTTTCAATTCAACTTCACTATAAGCCCAGAACACATGGCAGAAATAGGTGAACGGGTTGAACTGAATATCCGCTGAAAAAACTTGCTGTAACAAAGGCATCCCAGTCTCTAGATCCCAGACCTGATATTCAAATATGCATGGGTAAAGCTTAATGACAAGTTGTCGTACAGATGCCAAAGATGGTTCTTGATTTGACTGAGTTAATTCTCTTAGTCTGCAACAGTAGTAGCACGATGGATCGTCAAGAATGTCACCCTCGCCCAATATTTCTCTCAATCCGAGACGCTCGAACAAGCGTTTGATGTGCACCCCTGCTTCGCTACATGGTCCCATTTCTTTCAATCCGTCAGGGCAAAAACTGGCGGTCATCTCATCATCTCCACTCAGCTCAATCTCCTTCAGAGCCCAAAGAGCCAATAAGTTAAAAACACAAGACTGACGTTCACAGGTACTTGGACAGGACAGAAAACCTTTTTTCACGACAATGTACTGTCCATCACGAGTCAACACGCCCCATTTATAGACATGGGAATTCCCTGAGAACTGAGGAAAGTCCTCCACACAACCTCGATCAACAGAAAACCATTTGTCGAGACGTCCAAAAAATAGAAACTTACCGTCGGGAGAATACTCCAAATGGTTAATGCTATCAATAGTATCGTTGCTTAGATCAAAAGGATCGCTCACTTTTTCTACCGTAGATAGGTCAAAGAATTGCAGAGACCGACCCTCCGCTCCAGCCACTGTCCTCTTATTAGGAGCTGTGGCAAAGCAGTGCATGTTAGTAATGTTGGCATCAACAGCAATAGGAAGACGAAAATTACTGATCCACTCCAACCAGGGAAGGGCCACTTGAGGGATGGAAACGGTCTGTTGGACAGCATTTGAGGCGTTTCGTATACACGAGTGTAGAAGGTGTGGGCATTCCAAGAGAACAAGGACATTGCTTTCAATAGTAAGTAAGATCTCCTGGAGGATTTCTTGTTTACTTACTTCTTCGAGAGCAAAACGGCTGGCCGCGAGCCTAAAATCTTCCAGCAGGCGGTAAATCTCAATTTTCCCATATTTCATTCTTCCTTCAATGAAGTGATAATTCGTCAAGGAAGCGAAAGCAACTTTCAGCAAATCTTTGGCTCCATTCTCACATAGAAAGCGGACGCCAACGCGTGAAACATAGTCCTTCAAATCAACGTCAATGGATGGGCCTGTCGGAGGTTTATTCACGACATAGGCGAGAATTTCAACGAAAACTTTTCTAAGGTACTCACCTGCCTCATCCTTATAGATGAACAATTTCCGAGAAGCTTTGTTCCTGTCCGTCAGCCACGCTGGGATCAGATTGTGAAGGAAAGTTAATGTCTGATCAGATATTCGTAACACCACAAATTGTGATACAGCATCGATCACTTGTTGTTCATCGCAGTTTGATTTCTCTCTCTTTAGAATGTAGGAAATTATTGAAACAGGAAGCCGAGATGCGGGGGCTACGATGGTACAACCAAACAACTTCTTAAAAATGTTCTGTCCCACTTGGTCATAGACGCGCTTAAAATTCTGCAGAAAGAAACTGTCGATATCTCCAGGGAAAAGATCGCTCAATTGATTCACTTCCTTACCTGAATCTGCAGAAAGCCTCAGTTCGTCAACAATGTAATGTGCATACAGGAATAATCCGTTACACTTTTTTGATATGTCTTCTACCGTGACGGATAAACGAGAGAAATCAATTTTGTTTTTCAAAAATGTTTGGATGTCCTGCTCATGCTGCTGATAAAAGTTGTCTTGATCGCTGTTTCCAGCGCAAATTTTAACACAGGGGTTATACTTTTTCAATCTGAACTGCACCGAATCTTCAGGGCGACTGGTGATAAAGAACACAAGCCATTCGGGAAGCAAGGGAAAGCAGTGCATTATGAGATCAAGAAAATCTTCCCTGGACTCGTACTCTGTCTCATCCAGTGCGTCAATAATAACTAACTTTTTCTGGTCACAAGGAGAACACTTACTTAATGGTTCTTGTACTAATTTTGTAAAGAGTTCCCGAACACCAAGTTTAGAATTGCCTAACAACATTTTTACTCCACTCTCTCCTCCTATAATTACTCTATACTGAGTATTACAATCACAGAGTTGACGTGCAACAGTCCCAAGAAGGTACCTGGGATCGTTTCTTGTGCCATCGTTGTGACGGCAGAAGTAGGCAGCTCCTAAGTGTCCAGCCTTTCTCATGCGCTGTGCCATGACTCCGGCTATCACACTTTTGCCGACTCCTGGATCGCCTAGGAGTACATAAGCTCGAGAATCGCCTGGATCACGGAACCACTTGTCAAAATCGTCAAAAAACCACTGTCTTGTGTCTGAATCGTAACGTTTGGCAAAAAAGGTTATGTCACCTTCACAACTGGCAATCTCTGAAAATAACGAAAAACAAAAATGATATGCTTATTTTCTGCTTTCCTTGTAGAATTAAAACTACGCANTATCCTGCTCATGCTGCTGATAGACGTTGTCTTGATCGCTGTTTCCAGCACAAATCTTAACACAGGGGTTGTACTTTTTCAATCTGAACTCTACCGAATCTTCAGGGCGACTGGTGATAAAGAACACAAGCCATTTGGGAAGCAAGGGAAAGCGGTGCATTATGAGATCAAGAAAATCTTCCCTGGACTCGTACTCGGTCTCGTCTAGTGCGTCAATAATAACTAACTTTCTCTGGTCACAAGGAGAACACTTGCTTAATGGTTCTTGTAATAATTTTGTAAAGAGTTCCCGAACACCAAGTTTAGATTTGCCTAAAAACATTTTTACTCCACTTTCTCCTCCTATAATTACTTTATACTCAGTATTACAATCACAGAGTTGACGTGCAACAGTCGCCATAAGATACCTGGGATCGTTTCTTGTGCCATCGTCGTGCCGGCAGAAGTAGGCAGCTCCTAAGTGTCCAGCCTTTTTCATGCACTGTGTCATGACTCCGGCTATCACACTTTTGCCGACTCCTGGATCGCCTAAGAGTACATAAGCTCGGGAATCGCCTGGATTACAGAACCACTCGTCAAAATCATCAAAAAACCACTGTCTTGTATCTGAATCGTAACGTTTGGCAAAAAAGTCTATGTCACCTTCACAACTGGCAATCTCTGAAAATAACGAAAAACGAAAATGATATGCTTATTTTCTGTTTTCTTTGTATAATTAAAACTACGCAATTTATTTCGGTATAAAACATTGTCCACTTTATTTTAGGGGTGTGTTTCATTTACCATTGTGCAATGGGAGTTTTCCGCTATTGAAGATTGATAGTTTTCACGTCTAAGTTCATTTCCTCAATCATTTGGTTTCATCATAAATGGGACTATTTGTTCGGTGCACTGAGAGCGTGGCTCAAAAGATAGGCTCCACTGACATCTCCAAAAACATCATACCAACATTGACTTAAGCGTTTTATTTTGCAAACAGAGACTTCAAATCACAAAGGAATCAACTTACCAACGGATACGTTGCTGAGGTGCTGTTGGGACATTACATTTGCTGATTCTCCATAACTACAGCTACTATCCCCTGAAAAATATACAACTTCGCAATTAAACCGCTGTATATTTTTGAAACAATCATTATGAGTTTTCTGAACAATTATTCTCTTTAGACTTGTATCCCATCACCATTTAGGTTTAAGACTGACACTGTCTTTCTCAAGACTTTACAGGGCAAGAAGTTCCAGGTAGTGTAAAGCGAGCTCAGTTATAGTCTCGAGCTCAGTCACCAGGCATTGTTTTTCTATCGGTATGACGAACGCACATATATATTAAACATAATGGCTTCTTTCAATGTCATCGCATCATAACACAATTCCCAGTCAGCTTAGCTCTGCTTATATTTCTTATTATAGATAAAAATTATCGAATTACAAAACAGTGGTGGATTCGGTGGAGTAAAGTACTAATCGCGCTCGTAATGTCAAATGTCTTTTAAAGTTACGTAGTACCCGGTCGATTTTGAAATTGCTTCTTTAATTGTAATCCACTCGGCCCCATTAAATAATGTCACTTATCACTTGCTAAACCAATTAAATGGATGAGTCCTCACATATCTGTCTGGATTCGCAAAAACATAGCGACAGAATTTGACTTGTCACTGATAATCTTGATACAATTCTGTCCTAGAGCTACAATCCTGGCCATAAGTTGTTGGGACACCTCTCCTTTTGCGCGCTAAAACCCACGATTTCAACTACGTCCTTGACGTTTTAGAAAAAAAGATAAATAGAAGCAAGTATAATTGATCCCCCCTTGCATATGGAAAAGGAGTTATTTTGAAAGAAACTTATGCTAACATGAATGGATAATTTTTTGCTCAGGTTATTAGAGGCCACTTTAACCTGACCTTTGCTGAGGCGTGCCCTAAGGGTAACGGTGGAAAGCTTTTTGTAATGGACAATGACCCTTCTCAACAAGGTAGAGTTGCAACAAGGGCTCTTGAATCTATCAAAGCTGAGTTGCTCGAAATCTACCCTTGTTCTCCAGATATAAATTTTACAGAGAATGCTTTCAACCTTTTTAATCGTAGCCTACGAGGGAAAGCTGTAGCTAAAAATATTACATCCGAAAATTTTGAACCGTTTAGTGAAAGAGTTTCACGAGCATTTGAACGTATTTCTGTTAATGATATAGACAAAATAATCTCCAGTATGAATAATAGAATAGAAGCCATCCTGACTATATTACACTCTTTACTTCTTATGGTCCACAAGGCTTATCGCTCAAATAAATGGAAATAACTCTCCTGTATGCCTTTTGAGGCCAGGAAGACTAAATTCACTGTCTTTTCGTTGAATCATAAACTTTTAACATGAAATCGGAGTCTAAATCAACAGGAACGTACAGATATCAAAATCGCCGCGGAAAGCTGATCTATAGCTTTATAAAACCTGCATCGTCCCAAATGGACTGAACAAGAGCTTCCTACATTGAGAATCGATTGAACTTCAAACAAACTACGCTATAATTATGAGTTAGCGAACACTCAACGTGCTCTCCTTACGTCAAATTATCGCCCGGAAGCCACGCAAATAAATTTCTTCCACGCTAGCAAATCACAGACAGTTCTGATAGTTAGCTAGGCCGAGAACGCCTAAAATTGATAAAACAAGGAAATTCTAATCACGATCAGCGCTTGACCTAATGTTATTCATTCTGCTCGTGGCCATGTTTTGCTCGCAAATAGCAATGTCCCGGACGTACTTGAATTTTGTCGAGCGCGAAATGCCATATGCAGACTTCAACAGATTTTTTTCTAGGTCTTTAGCCAAATCAAGGTTCATACCAAATAACGCCAACAGCAGCTAGAAATGTCTAGTCCATTGCATGTCGAAGCCCTAAATTGATGTGGCTAAAGCTCTTTGCTGTCTGAAGCAAGCACAACATATTATCGCCACAGTGCAAACACCCTAATATTACGGGGCTAACTGACGTCCCGTTTGAGTCATTTCATGTACGATAACGGACGACGCTTCCTAGCAAATCGTTAGACTTGCACCTTCATTGGACTAAATGATGTCCTCGGGCAGACTTCCTTTAGACAGCAGTTATAGAACGCTAATCGGTCGGCTCCTTCTCAGAGTCACCGCGCGAACTGAAATTCGGACAAGTGTAGCCTGGGCTCACCAATTAAACAAAAGCAGGGAGTAGCGCTAAATAATAATAATAGTAATAATAATAATAGTAATAATAATAATAATAATAATAATAGATAAATAAATAGATAACGAGAAGTTCTCTACATTTCATGTTAGGTAAGCTGTACAAGCTACTGTCATCAGGAAAGCCACCCCCCCTTTCCCCCTCAAAAACCGAAATAAATAAATAGATAAATAGATAAATAAATAAATAAATAAAATCACAAGCTAACGGGATGGAGGGGTTCAAATCTGCGGGGATGCTTTTGGAAAATCGGACATAAATATACTTGCCTCGATTTTCTTGGAGAGTAGAAGAACTGAGTTNAATTTTATTGAAACAGATTTACGAATTCCAAACGAATGGCCATGTTTATTAAAACACCAGAAAGCTGGTAAGATAGTCTGGAATCTCAGTTATCCGTTAAATTTTCGGGAATTTCTCAGCAATCGGTGAATTTTGGAGATCTCACCTATCAGTTAAAGAAAGTGTCCATTCGCAGAAGACAGTTGAAAGCTTGAACAATTCTCAGCTATGGATCAGTTTAAGCCCATCTTCTGATGAAAGTAATTCCGCTTGGGAAGCCATATTTTAATAATTTGCGGGGCGGTAACCATAGCCCCCAGGTCAAACCGATCCTGATCACGATGATGGTCTGTTTCAAGTTTTTTTTCAATGAATTGTATTTCAGTTGTTGAAATTTTGCACTGATTAGTTTCGGAAATAGGAACAGTAGAGGAAACGTCCATAAAAAAAATAATTTGAATTTTGGTAACAACCAGTGACTTGATTTCACGTTAAATACATTTCACGTTTCCTATTTCGCTGCTTTGAGAAATTCTCGCCTTATTTATTCGACTACACTCAGTTAGGATTCTCAATATTATGATACACATGTTTGCAAGCGCCAGCTTCTTTTAGCGTATTAAGGAGAGTCACCGTAGAGCAGTTCCATACATTATATGACATATCTAGTCGGATAGGTAGTAAGAAAAATCCATTTCTTCTTCAGAGTCAGAACTGCTCATTGCCTCGAACATGTCATCCTCAAGAGATAAATTGCAATTCTCAGATGTTGAAGCGACTTCCTCTTGCAGTTGCGGACTTGTGTCAGCTTTGCTTACTTGGCCTTTCGAAGGTGTCGTCCAAGGTTTCATTGGAAGCGCAGATCCCAGTTCACAGAGTTTTACCATGCACACTCGATTAGAGGATGTAAAACAGACAGCTTTGTCTTCTTCAGTGGACACGGCCATGCTTACAATGCTTTCCTGCCCTTCAGCTATCCTGGCGAATCCAACAGCTTTCGACACGCTGATGTCCCACAGAAAGACCATACCATCAACACCGTATGAGATAAGATAACGATTTACTTTTAAAAACCGACAAAACTCGATTCTACCAAGATGGCCGCGGAGAACTTGTTTGGAGGAATCGATATCATAAGCATGAAGATTGTACACAAGAATGACGTCTGCGATGCAGCATACCAAAAACTGATTATCTACCGACACAGTGCACTGACTGAACTTAACAGAGTTGTATGGCTTCTTAATTGTGAGTCTCGTAAGAAGGCGGCAGGTATGTTCAGCGTACTCCCAGATCTCAATCTCGTCACCACACAAGACTAGTTCTTGTTTATTCCATGAAAGATAACAACATTCCGCAGTCAGCAACCACGGTGATTTGAAAGAAGCTGAAAATACTTCCTCTTTGATATCCCAAGCATAGAAACGTGAAGCATTCCTGCTATCCTGGATACAAAAGAGGAGAGTGCTGCCGTCAGCTGAAAAAACACAGTATGGAACCGTGAATGCGCATTTTGATGCAAATACTGAGTGAAGAAACTTCAATTCCGATTCGTCAAAACTATACAACTCTAACTTGGCTTCCTGGTGAATGGCAATAAGCCTTCCGTCTGAAGATAGCGCACAATTCTTCACAGGAAGAGACTGCGGGCTGGATGCAGTCAACGAAGACTTAGAACTAAAGGTGATGACTTCTCTACCAGCAAAAGTAGTAGTTTGCCATAACGTAACCATCGAGTCAGAACTAACAGAAATAACAGCATTACTTGAAAAGAACATCACTGCAACGGATTTTCCTACAACTGACGGTTTAACACGTGATGCTGGAAGACACTTAAAAGGACTGAATAAACTTGTCAAAAAGATGGCTGTCTCTTCGGTACCACAACGAAACAAATACCCAACCTGCCTTTCTCTTGTAAGATACAAAAGGTCACAGCCCGACACACTCGAAAATATCTTACCTGTCGTGAGAGATAAGGCTTGCAGTGAACCTTCACAGGAATACACCACATAAAGATCATCATTTGAAAACGTAAAGCGTGTGAACTTACTGAAGGCATATTCTGGTTCTTCCTGATGAATATAGTGTTGTTCTTGATTTCCTGTTTGTAGCAAACTCACCTTCAGTGAATCATCAGCCTGGATTACCCATTTCATTTCTGGTGACACGCAAGTAAGAATTTCTCCGTAAGCAAAACAGTTAAAGAGATTCAGAAAACCTCTAGGAATGTTCCTCCACAGGCCAATCTTGAATGCGTCATCATGGACCTCTCTGAACAACTCAGGGGACACAAAACCTTGCAACTTTGTTCTCTGCCCAGTATGTCTGTGCCTCGGCCACACCTGCTGAAAAGCCCTCTCTATTTTCAACTCCAGCGAAAAATGGCAAACAGCAGTTACTATGGCAATGTTACAAAGTGACATGGCTTTTTCTATTCCAGAACACTTCATTTTCAATCCAGCTTCACTATAAACACAGGACACATGGCACAAATACGTGAACGGGTCGAGCTGAATATCCTGTAAAAACACTTGCTGTAACACAGGTTTCCCAGACCGTAGATCCCAAACTTGATAATTAAATATATTGGGGTAGAGCTCAATGACACGTTCTTGTACAGTTTTCAAGGACGGGTCCTGTTCCGACCGAATTAATTCTTGTGGCGTCCTACAGAACCGACAAGGATAAAGGAAATCCCAGAGACCCTGAGACTCCGAGGCATCATAATGCCTCCTAAGAACCCCTCCGAGACCCTCACCCAAGATTTGTCTTATTCCAAGACGCTCGAACAAACGTTCGATTTGCAATCCTGCTCTGCTATATGGTTCCTCCTGGTTAGATACGTCAGGACAAAAACTGACAGTCACCTCATCATCTCCACTCTGCTCAATCTCCTTCAGAGCCCACAGAGCCAGTAAGTTAGGCAAACAAAACTTGTTTCGACAGGTTATTGGGTTGGACATCAAACTCCTTTTCACGACAATACACTGTCCATCACGAGTAAACACGCCCCATTTATAGATATGAGAATTCCCTGAGAACTGAGGAAAGTCCACGACACAACCTCGCTCAACAGAAAACCACTTGTCGAGGCGTCCAAAAAACAGAAACTTGCCGTCAGGGGTAAACTCCAAATTGGTAATATCAGGGGTAAACCCCAAATTGGTAATATCAGGGGTAAACTTCAAACGGGTACTATAGTCAATAGCATCGTTGCCTATATCAAAAGGACCACTCACTCTTTGTGCCGTAGACGCGTCAAAGAATTGCAGAAACCAACCCTTTGCTCCAGCCACTGTCCTCTTATTAGGAGCTGTGGCAAAGCAGTGCATGTTAGTAATGTTGGCATCAACAGCAAATGGAAAAGCATAATTACTGATCCACTCTAAACAAGGAGCCGACACTTGAGGGATGGAAACGGTCTCTTGGACAGCATTTGAAGCGTTTCGTATACACGAATGAAGAAGGTGTGGGCATTCCAAGAGAATAAGAACATTGCTTTCAATAGTAAACAAGATCTCCTGGAGGATTTCTTGTTTACTTACTTCTTCGAGAGCAAAGCGGCTAGCCGCGAGCCTGAAATCTTCCAGCAGGTGGTAAATCTCAATTCTCCCATATTTCATTCTTCTTTCAATGAAATGATAATTCGTCAAGGAATCGAAAGCAACTTTCAGCGAATCTTTCTCCCCATTCTCACACAGAAGGCGGATGCCAACGCGTGAAACATAGTCCTTCAAATCAGCGTCAATGGATGGGCCTGTCGGAGGTTCATTCACGACAAAAGGGAGAATTTCAACAAAAACTTTTCTAAGGTACTCACCTGCGTTCTTCTTATCGATGAACAATTTTCGAGAAGCTTTGTTCTTGTCCGTCAACCACGCTGGGATCAGATTGTGAAGGAAAGTTAATGTCTGATCAGATGTTCGTAACACCACAAATTGTGATACAGCATCGATCACTTGTTGTTCATCGTGATTTGAGTTCTCTCTCTTTAGAATGTAGGAAATGCTTGAAACAGGAAGTGGAGAGGGGGATACGATGGCACAACCAAACACCTTCCTAAAGAGATCCTGTCCCACTTGATCGCAGAAACGTGTAAAATTCTTCAAAAAGAAACTGTCCATATCTCCAGGGAAAATATCGCTCAATTGACCTAATTCCTTACCTGAATCACAAGAACGCCTCAGATCTTCCGCAATGTAATGTGCAAACAAGAATAATCCGTTACACTTTTTTGATACCTCTTCTACCGTGACGGATAAACGAGAGAAATCGATTCCCTTGTTCAAAAATATTTGAATATCCTGCTCATGCTGCTGATAGACGTTGTCTTGATCGCTGTTTCCAGCACAAATCTTAACACAGGGGTTATACTTTTTCAATCTGAACTCTACCGAATCTTCAGGGCGACTGGTGATAAAGAACACAAGCCATTCGGGAAGCAGGGGAAAGCAGTGCATTATGAGATCAAGAAAATCTTCCCTGGACTCGTACTCGGTCTCGTCCAGCGCGTCAATAATAACTAACTTCCTCTGGTCACAAGGAGGACACTTGCTTAATGGTTCTTGTAATACTTTTGTAAAGAGTTCACGAACACCAAGTTTAGAATTGCCTAACAACATTTTTACTCCACTTTCTCCTCCTATAATTACTTTATACTGAGTATTAAAATCACAGAGTTGACGTGCAACAGTCCCAAGAAGATACCTGGGATCATTTCTTGTACCATCGTTGTGACGGCCAAAGTAGGCAGCGGCTAACTGTCCAGCCCTTCTCCTGCGCTGTGCCATGACTCCGGCCATCACACTTTTGCCGACACCTGGATCGCCTAGGAGTACATAAGCTCTGGAATCGCGTGGATTACTGAACCACTCGTTAAAATCATCAAAAAACCACTGTCTTGTGTCAACGTCATGGCGTTTAGCGAAAAAGGTAATGTCACCTTCACAACTGGCAATCTCTGAAAATAACAAAAAAAAATGCTTACTTCCTGTTTTCCTTGAAGATTAAAAACCACATGTTTCTTTCGGTATGAAAGCTTGACGTCCATTTTTCTTTCAGGGATGTGGCTAGATTTACCCATTGCGCAATAGGAGCTTTCCGCTTTTCACGTACTTCTAAGTTTCTCCCTTACTTTCACGTCAGCTTAGATGTATTTTGAGCTTTACGAAGGGAACGAGTATTTCGGTTCATCATAAATGGGACCAATTTATCGGTGTCTGGTCATGGCTCAAAAGATTGGGTCAACTGATATCTCAAAAATTCATACTCGAGACTTACAAAAGAATCAACTTACCAACGGATAAGTTGCTGAGGTCCTGCTGGGACACTACACTCGCCGATTCTCCATAACCACAGCTACTCTGCCCTGAAGAATAAAAAACTTTGCAATTAATTACAAACTACTGTATATTTTTGAAACAATAATTCGGAGTTTTTTTAAACAATTATTATCGTTAGACTTGTATCCCACCATCATTTTGGTATAAGCACCAGAGTATGATCATAATCTCTTTGTAAAAGACAGTGACTGACATTTTTTCTCAAGACTTTACAGTGTAAGACGTTCCACATAGTGTAAAGCGCGCTCAGTTGTAGTCTCGGGCTCACTCATCCGGCGTTGGTTTTCTATCGTTAAGGAAAACCGTACTGATATAACATATGGCTGTCTTCAATGTTCTCGCATCGCAACACAATTGCCAGTTAGCTTAGCTCAGCTTATATTCCTTCTTATAGAACAAAAGTTCTAATTTCAAAAAAGTGGTGGATTCCGTGGAGTATAATGACTGTAATACTAGTCGCGCTCATAATGTTATATGAGCATTAAAGTTACATAGTGTTTGGTCGATTTTGAAATTTCTTCTTGAATTGTAATCCACTC